GAGTGGTCATTAATGGGAATTATGCCAGAAAGGTCAATCAGAATAAGATTGAGAAAAGTTTTGGTAATAATCATTGAATTACAACTCAACATCTAAAGTAAAGATCCATGAGTCTCTACTGATTAAACATGATTGGATACAAAAAAAAGAAGGGAGGGTGGGGAGGGAAAAGGGAAAGGGGAGGGGAAGGGAGGGAAGGGGAGGGGAGAAGAGTAAATAAATCTCCCATGCAGAAGTCCAAATAATTTATGTACATACTCCATCCTTAAGGAGGGGCACAAAAATACCTTCTCCTTTTAAGTGTGTGCTGCACACAGTGGATGACTTCTTTCCAAAGAGTCCAGTGTGGAAAGTTCTGGGGAAGGGATAAATTTACAATGGAGAAACAAAAAACACTACCAGTACTTGTACCAGGTGATCCAGGTCAATAGCAACAGTCATAAATCATGTTGACAGTATGTACCCTTAGTATGATGCCATGAAAATGACACTTAAGCACTGTAGACTTCCTACCAAAATCCATAGCGCAAGTCTAATAATCACAAAACCCTCAGGTAAATTCCAAGATAAGGCATCCTACAAAATCTGACCAGTTTTCCTCAAAGCTCATCAAAAACAAGGAAAGTGAGAGACTCACAGGCAGGGAAACCTAAGGTGACATAATGACCCAATATGCTTTCCTGGATGTGATCCTGGAACAGAAAAAGTCATTAGGTAAAAATGAAGGAAATCTGCATAAACTGTGGATTTTAGTTAATAGTAATGTATAATAGTAATGTAGCGATAGTGTGTGGTTTTTTTTTTGGGGGGGGGGGGCGTTGTTATAGGATGATTTTTTTATTGTACTACTGCATTTACAAAGAAAACAGACAATGCACTCAGTACAAAGAATAAAAATGTATTTGGGGTTTTATTTTTATTGGCAGCGACTAGAAACCCTTTAGTGAGATCATGACAATATGACAATATTATGGCTATATTCAGTAAAGGTACATGGGGTAATTGCAAGATCAAATTCTACAGCTGCTTCTTTCTATGGCTTCCAATTCATCTGGCTCCTGAAATGATAGGAAGACAGCCTTTATTTGTTGGAAAACATTTTCTAAATGAAGTTATAGGTTCTTAATTTTTTTCATGTCAGTTGTTAAAATGAGGTCTTCTATTTGTGTGTGTATATATGTTGATTATTTCACTTAAATATCATGACCAGAATTTCTGTAATTTCATAAACTATTATTTCACAGTGTAGAAAAGAATTCAGTTGTAGTAACTCATATATATGTATTTATAGTGTCCCAAAAATGAATAAAGGCAGCGTTTATTAAAATACATTTCATTTTCAAAATTGAGCTATCAGCTGTTAAAGTGTGTATACATTTTTCGGGACATTCTGTCCCAAAAACCCAAAGTGAATTAGAATTGCTAAAGACTTTTCCCTGCTATTGTTTGCTGTAATCTGTTCTCTTTATTCTTGATAGGTGGCTAAACGGCCTCACTCTTAGTAATATATTAATATATTAGTTAATAGTAATGAGTGTGGGAGTTAATAGTAGGGGAAACTGGGTGTGAGACTATAGGGAAATTCCCTATCATTTTTATAATTTTTTTGTAAACCTAAAACTTTCAAAAAATAAAGTCTCTTTTTAAAAAACTATCAGGGTAATGCCATTTTGGATCTATTAAATTAGTAATAATGTCGAATAATATTTTAAGTAATATTTAAATGTCCAGATGCTAGTGAAGATATGATGAAATTGGATGGTACATACATTGCTAATGGCTAATGTAAATTGATAAAACTTTTAGGGGAAGGACCTAAATTGTATAAGTATACCAAGAAATTATTCAAAAACAAGATATAGAGCCCTGGCCAGGCAGCTCAGTTGATTAGAGCATAGTCCCAATACACCAAGGTTTTGGGTTTGATCCCTGGTCAGGGCACATACAAGAATCAACCAATATGCTAAGTGTCCAATTGTCTGGTCGGCCATTCAACCAATCAAAGCATAATATGCTAATGATATGCTAAGGCCGCTCAACCGCTCGCTATGATGTGCACTGACCACCAGGGGGCAGACAGTCGACCGGTTGACCAGTCGCTATGACATGCACTGACCACCAGGGGTCAGACGCTCCAACCAGCAGGTTAGTTTGCTGCTAGGGTTGGGCCTGTTGGGATTGAGCGAGACGGGCCAGACACGTCCTGGAGGCCTCCCATGGTCCCTTCCTGGCTGGCCAACCTCCTGCATCCCTCCCCTGCCCCAATTGTGCACCAGTGGGGTCCCTCAGCCTGGCCTGCAACCTCTCGCAGTCCAGGACCCCTTAGGGCAGCGGTTCTCAACCTGTGGGTCGCGACCCCTTTGGGGGTCGAACAACCCTTTCACAGGGGTCGCCTAAGACCATTGGAAAACACATATATAATTACATATTGTTTTTGTGATTAATCACTATGCTTTAATTATGTTCAATTTGTAACAATGAAATTGGGGGTCACCACAACATGAGGAACTGTATTAAAGGGTCGGGGCATTAGGAAGGTTGAGAACCACTGCCTTAGGGGATGTCAGAGAGCCGGTTTCAGCCCTATCCCGCAGGCCAGGCCAAGGGACCCCACTAATGCACAAATTCGTGCACTGGGCCTCTAGTATACGAAAAAGTGGAACAACAAGTCTCTCTGTCTCCCCCTTTCTCTCTCAAATCAATCAGTAAATAAAAAAATACAGATAGATATGTATACTCACACATATACATAAATATATTCACTGCAATGTTATTTAAAAATAAAAATCTAGCTATAAGGGGCTGTTTAAATAAATTATGATATATTAGTTCAATAAAACAACAGTTTTTAAATTGTGTTCTGAAGATTTCCCCAGAATCCTAGCCCTTTCTGTGGGGGGCGGGGGGCGGGGGGTGGCGGTCAGCAAGATTTTTATTAGTTTTAGTTCCTAATGCAATAAATATATATAGTATGTATAGTATGTATGTATAGTACAGCAAATGGGAGAAGTCATGTGCCTTAAAAAACACACACAGAGAAATCCAGCTAAAATTGACTAATAGTTACCTGAATTTGTTCACAAACTGGATAATCAACATTATAGATAAATTAAGATCTGAGTATGTATTTTTTAGAGTTCTTTAGAAGCAAGATTTGTTTTGTTTCTGTTTCTAGGAAATGACTATACCATGGTGCTTAAAGAGAGCAGAACTTGTGTTTAAGTGTGTCAAAGGTGAGCATAACCTTATATTTAACAACGACCTATGTATCTTCCTCCCAAATACTCAAAATAGAGCAACCCAGGAGGACCATTGTGAACGTTACTCATCGTCGGGTGCCTCAATTAAATGGTTTATTAAGCAAATATTTCATAGCAGACTTTTTTTACTTATCCTTTCCTAGACACAAATATTCAGCCCTCTTCAAATACAAGATATTTTGATATTATTTATATTTTGCTCTGATTATAGCTTGTTCTTTATTGTCTTTTATTCTTTAAAAAAAATAGAGCCATATGTTTAGCCTTCGATAACTTATTTTGCTTTTTTTTTTTTTAAAGATATTTTATTGATTTTTCACAGAGAGGAAGGGAGAGAGAGAGAGTTAGAAACATCAATCAGCTGCCTCTTGCACATCCCCCACTGGGGATGTGCCCGCAACCCAGGTACATGCCCTTGACCGGAATCGAACCCGGGACCTCTCAGTCCGCAGGCTGACGCTCTATCCACTGAGCCAAACCGGTTTCGGCAACTTATTTTGCTTTTCTTGTATGGAGACTGAAAAGGACTTGAGAAATCATAAGTAAGTGTGTTGACAAAGCGACGTTAAACGTGTCTGGCATGGCGAATTCAGGGTGCAGGTGTTTATCTGCCCTGTAGGCTGAGCCTCTCTTGCAGTAAATGACTACATAAAAAGTCAAGACATGAAGCCCCACAATGAAAATTCCGTTTATTTCGATGAAGGGCTAGGTAGGCTTGAAGCAGAACGCATAATTCAGCAAAGTCTATTGTTCTGTTTTAGGTTTCATGATGGAAATGGCTTCATGGGATGGAGGAATTTCTAGGACAGTGCAATTTCTGGTACCACAGGTGTGTTATCTTAATATATCTCACCCCAATTTAATCTCTTTTACAGTATTTTTCACAGATATAGTGAGCACACTGCCCTAAACTCAATATAACACAACAAAATGCTAACAGCTTCCTCTTTTTTAAGTGTTTGGATGCCAAAAAGGCACTTAGTTTATTGTCAATGATGTTAGCATCTACCATTCCGGGGATCTTTTTATTTAACCCCAAAACCAAACTTATTTGCCCTTTTTCCCCACATATGTGTTATATAGATTTTGAAGAGCTCATAGATAAGGGCATCAGCAGAGAGTGGCTCTGTGTTCGGTGTGGCCCTTAGCGAATCAGTGGCACTTTTAAAATTGATTATACTAGTGTTATCTAGGGTCTTTCTGATAATGAGACCTTATTTGATAGGAACAACATATGTTCTCAGAGGATGGAGCGAGGAAAACACTCCAGTCCTTAGCTGCACAGTTAAATCAGTCATGAAAGATAATTTTTACATATTGCACTCTATGTCTAGAACTAGTTCCATAATTTAAAATATTTTAAATGTTTAAAAAATCAGTTATGATTTAACAAATACAAACTTTTTTTTAACCTCCTACAGAGTATTTCTGAAGAAATGTTTTACCAACTTAGTAACATGCTTCCCCAGATCTTCCGAGTATCATCAACACTTACTCTGACATCCAAGCACTAAACCCTTATATATCACCATGCTGGCAGAAGAGGATTGTTAACCTCTCCAGGAACTTGAGCTCTGCTGGGATTCTGTCAAGCAAAGATGCCCAGAAAGAGAACTTGCGACCCAAGCCACAAATCAAATCATGATAGATATCTGTTAAACATTCCAAAGACTCATCTACCGTACAGGCTGATGATCAGCCCCTGATGTATACATTTATTGTTAAAGTCTCTATGAAAAAAAAAAATGTCTTTTCCTATTGTCGTATCCTATCTGTGAATAATAGTAGGTTTAAACTTCCTATATTTCGTGCAAGGACACTTGATGTAGGAGAGTGTTCACTGCATTTTCATAAAGACATTTGTCTTTTCCCAAAGGTATGAATCATATCAGGTACAAGACTTAATTAAGCATACAAATAAAATCTTTCCTCTATCTTATTTGCCAAGTGAAAATTAAAAAGCACTGAAATATACATTACACATTTGGACGTCTTGTGAAAATCTTTTTTTGTCGAAACAAATATATGAGACATATACTTTTTAAAATTCTTCTATTTCAAAAACTTGTTTTTAATGTACTCTTACTAAGGTTTTATAAGTTCAGAGTCAGAAAAAGATATTGGATTCTTTTCCTCTATCTCATCTTCCTTATGTGACTTGCCCTTGTCTGTTAGTAACATTTCGTGAGCTGGGAAAATAGTGTGCTTATTTGCAAGCCCAGTGAAAAGTTATTCTAAACCAGCACCTGGTAGTATTGTAGTGCCCATCAATACTGACAGTCAGACAATGAGGATCATTTTTATTTCTCCATCCTGTTGTCTGCATTCTCAGCATCTTTAACCATTCTTCTAGTGGAAAGTTTTTTACTGATATGATGTCCCCATTTCTGTCTCTGCTCTGTTTCCTCTCCTCCATTGTTTTTCTTTGTAGAAATACTTTTTCAAGTGCTGCATGTCGCTTATGTATCCCACCTGTAACATTTGCAATGAGCACTCACTACACTGACCAAAGGCATTTACAAAAGCAATCGTTTTGTCAAATTGTATGGATGTTGTAAATGGCCAATGGAATGATATGGAGGACCTTTGACATGATAAAATGGTATATTTTGATTCCAAGAGACAAAAAGCACTCGATTAGTATGCCTACATATAATAATTTGGAGAAACTCTTGGCATACAGAATGCTTCCCCACACCATGGAACGTGTCTTGATTTTCTACTCAAGGAAATGACTGTCCAAGTAACCACACTAAGGAGTTTATCCACTCCAGACTGTGTCCATTACAAACTAACACTTTCCAAATCCTTTTTCAAGGAACCTGGTGATCCCACCAAGAAAACGGTAGGTAGGTATTCTACCCTTAGAGCAAGAAACTGTCTTCCAGACACTACTGTTACCATTAAGACAGATTCTAATGCAAAGCAAAGTAGACAGAAGTAGAAATTAAGGGTGTGCTCTAGCAGTGTCAGAGACTGTAGAGACTGTATGAGTTCATAATGTGACAGGTCAGGTTGGAGGCGGGTATAGGAGGGTCAGTCAATAAAAGGCATTCAAAAAGGCATTGAGACTGCACAGAATTTCTGTAAGTGTATAGCCAACATCTTAAAGGGTGCATCCAGGGTCAGGGTGTGGGAGTGAGGGTTCATTCGCAGAAACTTGGTGAATGCAGCTGCCCAACCCTTTCTTTGTCTCATCAGGGCTGTTTTATTAAATTATAAAGTGGTAGCTTTCACTCCAGGGCAACTTGAAGTTTCTATTTGGCCTATGAATGAAGATGAATTTAAGTGCTCATTATTCACATGGCAAGATTAGAATAATACTTATGTTACATCACTGATATGAAGACACACCAACACTAAGTTAGCAACATTATATAATGTAAGTTTCTAACTATGCACATTTAAGTAGTGGGGGTTTTAGTGAAGCAGTAGATGAGGAAGTCTGGAGTTCTGTATTTGGACTGGGAAGGATGAGATTATGGCCTTCTGAGTGTTCTAGAGGGCTGCTTAGAAGAGAGTGGTTCAGGAACTTCATGAATGATGTGAAGAAGGAACTTTAGTAGGCTGAGACTAGGACATTCTAGGTATGAGGAGCAGACATAGAATGAAGGGAGGCAGTGATAAATGGTCAGATGTTGAGAGAAGCTGACCACAGGAGCCTTTTGGGGATGGGGATGGGGTTAGAGGGCCTGGGCCTTAGCACAAATAATGGTGAAGTCTCTCAGCGAGCATGAATTTTTCTATTTGTGTAAACAATTAAATATTCCCAAAACAATGACAATCTGGTCCTCAAAGCCTTCAAAATATGTTTGGGGAATCAAGCAGGAGCATTGAGCCTGAGGTCTCATTCTGCTGCTCTTTCCCCCTCCCCCCATTTCTGTTCTCAAAGCACAAAACCAAGTAAAGCTGTAACCTTGCCATTGATCAAGAAGTGTGGTACCAGGTGTGCTCAGCATGGCACTGTGACTAGAATGGAAGAAATGCATGAAAAAGAATTTCAGCAGAAACAACTTGCCAGGGAATTGGCAGATCTCAGCTATCTTTTGTGTCACTTCAGTTGGGTCCTGGCTAATTCTCAGAGGAAGAAAAAAATGTTCCACAAAGGAAAGATGAATTTACAGAAATATGCCTGTGCTAGAGGCCCTCTGAGAATCAGCAGAGCTGTGCTGGAAGAATGGACAAAGATAAAGAGTGAACCTCAGGGCAATTTTTAGTTTCTAAATGAAAACAATTGCTTTTCTCTTATTTAGTTTTCCCATTTAAATGAAATTGGACTGCTTTGCTCAAAAGAAATTGTGGCACTGTAAAAATCATTATAATAAAAAAATACAACTATTTAAATGAAATACCATGTATTTAGAATCACTTAGATCAATGCTTTTCTATCCTTTACCCATCAAAGAACATTTCCATTATCTTCCTCATATTTTCCTGAAATAGTTTGAAAAGGTAGTAAAGAACTGAAACAATTGAACAATCATTTGAGCAATGGTCTGTTTTTTGTGAAAGACATGTCGATGGAGCTGAGTGATCGATGGTATTAACAGCAGTACATAGTATCACATAGAATTATCATTGTAGGGTTCTGGGCAAATTTATAAAAAGAAAACCTTGCCATTTTATTTAACCTGCGAGGTCTCATCCTAATGAAATGAAAAGTCTTTCTGGAAAGACTTTTAAAACAGCTCAATGACATACTTCAGACACCTTTAAGGACCATTAGGAACCCCAAGCTGGGGACCACAACTTTAGAAATATTTATGTGAGAGTATGTTACAAAGGAAGGGCCAAGATAAGGACAACATAAGTAGCAGGTTGACCCTGAGGGATCCCATTCAATAAACAGCAAGTGTTTGCCAAGTGTCTTCCAAGATTCGGCCTCTGGAAACCTATGCAAAGGTGATGCTACTTTAGGAACTATTGGATTAAAGAAAGAATACTTGGCAAGCTTCTCCGTGATCTGTGATGCTGTCGATCTCTAATGGCCAGGACACAATCTCAACAAAAGCAGGGGAATGGATGAATAGCCTTCTGAGGTGCCCTGCAGGACAAAGAGGTACTTGTGATGTCCTATTCGATATACAAAATTAAAATTATTGCCCTAACCGGTTTGGCTCAGTGAATAGACCGTCGGCCTGTGGACTGAAGGGTCCCAGGTTCGATTCTGGTCAAGGGCATGTACCTTGGTTGCGGGCACATCCCCAGCAGGGGGTGTGCAGGAGGCAGCTGATCGATGTTTCTCATTGATGTTTCTAACTCTCTATCCCTCTCCCTTCCTCTCTGTAAAAAATCAATAAAATATATATTAAAAAATTAAAATTATTGTAATACACTCCATATCTCTCTTGCTGGTTTTCCCTCCTGTGGGAAAACAGGGTTCCTGATATGTTAAAATTCAAGATATATCAGGCTTTCTGATAGATCCATATGTAAGGCTTGCCAAACTTTATTCTCTGTATAGTCAATCCTCATTAATCATGGACTCTATACATGCAAATTCCCCTCCTTGCTAAAATTTATTTGCAACTACAAAATTACTCAATTAAGTCATTTATAAAAGCACATAGTCATCTACAGAAGCAATAGTTTCATCAGATCCTAGTTGTGTGGATATTGTAACTGGTCCACAGAATGAATTGGAAGACCTTTGACAGCACTTTGGCATCATCTGAGGACATGCGCAGAGCAGTGAAAAAACTGAGTCGCTCAACACACACATTCCCAGCTGAGAGAAGCAAGGTGACCTTCTTCAGCTCTCCGAACATAAATAGGTGTCTTTCTCACAGTCTATTTACTGCCACATATTTCACATTTTTGTGCTTTTTGGTGATTTTGTTATTTTAAATGGCCCCCAAGCATAGTGCTGAAGTGCTGTCCAGTGCCCTAAGTGCAAGAAGGCTGTGAGGGCCTCATGGCGAAGACATGTGTTAGTTCAGCTTTGTCCGGGCATGAGTTGTGGTGCTACTCAACAATCCGTTAAATAAGGTTTCTTTAAACAGAAACAATGCATAAAAAAGGTTCTAGACAGATTGGCTGGTGAGCTGTGATGAGAGGCTTGCAGGAACCTAGCCCTATATTTCTCCTGGGAGTAATGGTTCAGGATTTGCTAATTCAGTGTTCACAGCACAAGAATCAACTGTGTGTGTGTCTTCTCTCGCAGGTGAGAGTGCATACATAGCTACCTGGTCACATTTGGCACATGGAGAATGAAGCCTGGAACACATGACCAGAGGAGCAAACAGGTCCTTCCTGGAGATGTTTAAGAATTAAGCAGAAACCGTGCTGACACAGGTTAGGTCTGACTTCTGCAGGGGGAGAATGTATTGGTGGGTCTCTCCCTCCCTCTTTTATTCTCCTACTTTCTATCCTTCCCTCCTTTTTCTTTATAATGAATTCTGGTTTCTTGTTATCAGCAAATCTGTTCTCAAAACTCTACTCGGAGCAACAGTATAGCATCAGAGGGGAGCACAGTCCCTAAAGTTAAACAAACCTGGTTCAAGTGTGGACAGCCTGCTTTACTCACTGTGGCCTGTCACATTGGGCGTATTACCTAACCCTCATAAGCATGTTTCCTCATCTGTAAGCTAGGAAAATTAGTAATAGTATCTACCTCACTGAGTAGTTGGAAGGATTAAATAAGAAAGTGCACACTACCTGGCATATAGTCATTCTATAAATATTTGCCACTATCCATTCTCCTTCCTTTCCCTCATTGCTTCCTGTCTCCCCTTCCTTTCTTCCTTCCTGTCTGACCTTTCTCTTTCTTTCCTTCCTTCCTTTCACTAGATAGTAAGGACACTACGTTGCTTAAAACACCATGTCCTCAAGGAGTTTACAGCCGCCCTGAGCTGGGAAAAGAACACATTGTATAACTCACAGTGCCAGCCAGTGTATATGGTAAAGGTGTACAGTCAGTGCATAATAAGGTGTACATGGAGTGTGGCGGAAGTCAAAGTGGAAGCATGAGCAGGCAGTGGG